ATAAAACTGGTTCATTCTTCATTATCATGATTTTGCAAATTTTATATAATGAAAGACTCCATACTGGATCAGTTACGTAACATGCTGTTTTCATACCTCCTTCCCATTCTGTATTAGCAAGCAGATAGCGAACTGTATCACCTTTCTTTAACATATTCTCCTCATTCTTTCCAACAGGATACTTATACTTTGTAGATGGCCTAGATTCTACTTGTTCCAGTTTAATAGCTTTTGCTAGAGCTAAATCCTATTTTAATGAATCTGGAGCTCAAATGAGATGTGTTGGATAATTATTAAGATAATCTATTACTTCTGGCAAATACTTGACCCATTCTCTTATTAATTTAGGATTTTTAGATATTGATTTAATGGCATATTGGATTTTATAAAGCATCTTTGCTAACATCTTATTGAATTATTCTACAAGAGCTAATTCATGATAACTATAAGCACCAATTACTCAAATTATAACATTATGCACTTCTATTAATTGAGCAGTTTCACTCATGAATTCTTTATCACTGTCACATTGTAAAAGTGTCAGATATATAAGAGGGTTATTGGAATTATCATAAATTTTCTTAAATATTTTAGCAACTTTGGAACTATTCTTTGATATTAGAGAAATACTTGCCTTGAATCTGCTACCCACATCTATAATTTGTAATACTGCTTTTCATTTTTTATTTTTGTAGTGATCATGTGTAAGAAATAAGAGGTCACACTGATATACACAATTCGGTTTTTGAATTTTTTCATAACTTACCTATGGAGTATCTTTCAGTAATAGAGCATACTTTTGCCATTCATTTTGGTTATGCAACTATTCATGAACTTTTTTATATGGGAAATTATATCCTTTATCTCTGATAGTATTATATAACTTTTGAGTATTAGAATGGTAATCAGTAGATTAGTAATAAAATATACTCAGGACAATTTGCAATTCCTCATCTGGATCGATTCTAATAATAGGCTTGCTTAATTTACTTATTTTTGACATTACTTATTATAGTAAAAATTACGTTTAGCAAAGTTAAAGATAAGTCAATATAATATGTCATATAAAATAGAGACAAAGTCTTATCACTTCATAATAACATGGCATTTTATAAACCATGACCTCCTAATCAAACAACTTATAGATCAGCTATGGATAAAGAACTCGAGCTAGAGCAAATTAACCAAGAACTTCAGGAGATATTACAATCAGAGGTAGCCATCAATAAGTTAAATGAGAAATATATAAAGGATCTGGAATGTAAATATACCCGGTGTGAGAATAAAATTCAATCTCTCAATAAAGAACTGGAACGTCTTGAAAATACTTTAGAGAAAAAAAAGGCAGAGTTAATATCAGAAATATCATCTCTTAAAAAAAGCTTATATCAAGCTAAAAAAGAAATCCAAAATAAGATATTTTATATCAATAATATAAAGAAGTAATTACAAGAATCAGAAGAGTGAGTTCAAAATCTAAGGTATAGATTCAAAGTTATTTCTTCTCAAAGAAGCTCTTCAAGTTTATATAATTTAGAAGAGAAAGATATAGATATGGCGAATCTTGACCTTTTTATATAAATTGAACAAGACTTATATCATATTGAAAAATATCTTAGAGGCGCTGAAATACTATTAAATAATCTTATGAATATTATAAATGGTATTAGAGGTTTCTTAAATACTGTTTGGCATAATTATCAGTCTGCATATCAGAATATAAACAGTGTTATTGCTCAACAAGATGACAGTAATAATCAGATAGTCCAGTTATAGCAGGATGTCAATTTCTATAGATAACAAAATGCTGACCTTTAGAATCAAACTAATTAACTTATTCAAGTATGAGATACATTGCAAAATCATGTTAACTAACTTATACTAGAGCATAACAATTCTCAAAATAATCTTGCTTTAATAACTACAACTTATAATAATGAGCAAACAGAATGTCGTAAATGGAGGGAGATCACTCAGCAATTTGAAAAAGGAATGCAGATGCAGATTAATACTTTATTACTTGAAAAATTTACACTTAATTTTAAACTCCGAAGATATCAAAGATATGATAGAAAATTGTAACAAAAATATGATATGTGGAGGTATTTGTGGCATAATATTACTTTGGTATTAGAAGAGTAATTTAAACTCAAACATGCTTTTGAAATTATTTTTAAGGCATTTATTCATCACTTAGAACAAGAGCTACAACAATATCAGGCTGATAAAGAATTATTAGAATATAATTGAGATCGAATCTTTGATAGATATTACAATAAATTCAAGGATCAAAAGGCAAGTCATATCAAGTGAAAAAATAGGGAACGCAATTCCCAGCAATTAATTTTAAATTTACAAGTCCAAATTTTATTACTACAGAATAATATACCACAGAATCATAATAATAATCGAATAGGTATGGTGAATTACGAATTAAAAAAATTTCATGGATATTCTACTAAAGATCCCAAAAAATATATTGAAGAATTTAGATTATAGCTTGTAGGTTCTGGAATAGATGTAGGGGCTGGACATGCTAATAGAATTAATGCTTATAGTATTTTTATAGCATCTCTCAAAGATGACTCTAAAGATTGGTATGAAAGAGCCATTCACAGAAAAAATTAGGAATTGAGAAATTTACTTGATAATATAATGCAAGCAAATTTAGCTAGTGTTCAAGAAAGAAATACCGGTCAAATTAGAGCACAGGTCTTAAATCATGCAAATGGGCAGAATGATAATATTATAATTCCAGTTCATATAGTATTTGATGAAGATTAGTCTTTTGCTGATGGATGACCAACTGATTGCTTATCCAATGCATCTAATGCTAATACAGGTAATACTGTAGTTGTACCTGGTATTCGACTTGAACAAGTATTATACTGGTTTAGAACTAATTATCCTACAGTTACTGCAAAGAAATAGTGAGTACTTTTTAATTCAACAGTTCAAGGAAGTGATCCCATTGGCCATTTCTATTCTAATTTACGTAGATTAGCTAGGCTTGCTGGTATTGATGAATAATAAATTTGATTGCAATTTCTTCATGGGCTTTCACCTATTAACCAGATGGAAGTTTGTCATTTAGGAATTGAAAAATCTCCAGATGAGTTACTTCTGAAACTTGAAAAAATTGAAAGATATACAGCAGAATAATTATCTGAAGCTTATCTGCATTCAAACCCAGATTTAGTATCATCCAGTAAAGGTCATGGAAAGAATAATTATTCAAGCAATACAGGTATGACTGAAGCTGAAGTCAGAAACTTGGTAAAATCTATGATATTATCTGAATAATCTCAATCTGTCTCGCAAACTATCTCTTCTAAATTTCAGGAGAACCAGATCACACTTTCACAAGATGATTTCAAAAAAATTATAGCAGATTTGAAGGGAACTATTGCTAAAAGATAGCAAACTTTGAAGAAACCCCCTGGACCAGAAAAACAAAAAGCTGATGATCTTGCTTTGGATTATCTTTTAGATAGTATTTTTGATGACAGAGATCCACTATTACCTGAGGACTATAACTATGATCTAGTTGAAAATTTGAGATTACAGCTTGAACAGTTGGATATCAATCAAGCAAAATTAGCTCAAGTAATATATGCTGTTTTAAAATCTTCTCAATACAAATATTTAAAGTATGATAAAAAAGGTCATAATTCTTGCAACTGCTCTAAAAATAAAAAGAAGAGCAAGTCTAGACATTCTAATAAAAGCAGATCCAAGAAAAAAGGTAGGGTTAATCTTGCTACTAAAGATTCAGATTCTGAGTCTTATGCTAGCTCTTCTGATAATGAATCTAATTTCAACTCTGACTCTGGGTCTGGTTCCAAATCAGAATCTGATTCTGTGAATGACTTAACTGAAACTGAAATCATGAAAATTATCAATGCTATTAAATCAAAAAAAAAGTAAAGTCAAAGAGTAAATCGAATAAATCATTATCTAAAAAGCTAGTTCAAAGAAAAATTCTTCACAAAAAATACAAAAGAAATCAGGTACAATTATTGACTCATAAATTTGAAAAATTATTCTAGCTATGTTTAACAATCTAGAGATTATAAAAACTATTAAAAATAATATTAATAATACAAATTTATCTATGACTTGAAGAGTCACTCCTAAAGGGCCTGTGAAATCTGACTTTATAAATTATCAAGAGCCAGTCTCAGAAATATCTGAATCAGATGATGAAGAGGAGATACTGAATGATTCTATGAAGATTAATTTTGTTCGAAAAAAGGAATCTATCACAAGTCTTGTAACTATACCAGTTAAAATTAAACGCTTAAAAATTCTAGTATTAGTACTTGATAGTGGGACTAAACCCTCAATTACATCAGAAGATATTATTAAACATGTAAATTGGCCAATTGATAAATCAGAAAAATATGATCTTAGTGGTGTTACTACAGTTCTAACAGAATCTATCAGTATTGCTCATAATTTTCCAATAATATTCTCTCCAGGTTTTACTATACGTGAAGATTTTGTAGTTGTACGTGTCCCTAAATCAACATTGATATTTCCAAATCCACTTCTCAAGAAATATAAATGTACTATAGATTGGAGGAAAGATGAATTAAAAATTCCTTTCAATAGAAAGAATCACATTATTTCAGTAACTATGCATAAAGTTAAGAATAAGCTTGAAGTAAATTGCGCTACTGCATCTTAGAATAATAAGTCATTGATATCCGATCAAATTTTTCAAGAGACAGATAGTGATAAGAGCAGAGTTCTATTGCTTCGCAATAAGAATAACAATATAGCATTAGAGAAATGGCATGCTCTTGCAGACTTTAGCCCAGATTTTGATGATCTGTCATTAGCAGAGCAAGTATCTTCAGTACTAAAAAAAAATGCATGAGTTATGAGGAGTTAGAAAAATTGCTATATACAGTATTTGATTCTAATATTAAATTAATCAAACTTAATAAAAAGTTGCAGGTTTGCCAAAAGTAGTTACTTCATGACTAAAATTCTTTCTAATTCACGTTTAGCTTCTTCTGTTTCTTTACAATTATGTTTGATTAAAGTATATAGATCATCTTTCTCTCTCACTTTTTTTATTGATTTATGAATCATAGATCTTGATTTTTTATTTTTAACCTGCTTATCCGAAGCAATAATAGAATTTTCAACTATACTAGCTTGGTCAATATTTGGTAAGCATGATTCAGGTATAGATAATTTCTGATTTGGAGATATCATTGAGAAAGCTGAGCTTCAAGTTTTCGACTTATCCAATATAGGCTGATGCCATTCAACCATATGAACTTCTTCCTCTCTCCAAATTTTATAGAAATGATTATTTGCCATAGAATATTTATCCTACAACTTTTTTAAGATATCAGTTTTGGGTTTTGCATCATGATATTGCATAATAAATTTATAATTCACTGAAGATAATGGGAATGCATCAGATTGTATATATTTAACCATGTTGTTTTTATAATATTCGTAATATCCATAATATCAATAATATCAATAATATCAATAATATTGATAATTTATTGAAAAAAAATATTTATATTATACGTATAGTATATATAGTATGTATAGTATCAATAATTAATATGCGTCATACATATAGTATCAATAATTAATACATATAATATACATAGTACACATAGTACATATACTATATATAATACATATATTTAATATATATAGTACATATCTTATATATTAGTATCGAGATTCATCTGTATTTTTTTATTATATTATCTTTTATTTAATATGACATATGTGATAGACCTTGAGAAAGAAATACATCATATCCTCCAATCTTTTTCTAAATTACGTAACTATAATAGTGAGTTGTGGAATAAATATATAAAGTAAATAAAGATATTTGATCGAGAAAGAAAGAGATGGAATCAGGATTTATTATGAAATAATACCGAGATTTAAAAGCTATGTACCTATGTTTTGCAGGTTATTAATGAGCATAAGCAAATATAAAATGAAAATACTAATCTTATTTCTCATAACACACAAAAGGATATTATTATTGCTGAATCTAAAACTGAGAATATTATGAAATCCAAGAAAATCAAATTACTTGAGTCTATGATCAAGATATTGGAAGGTAAGTTATCTTTAGTCCGGAAAGATATGATTTCAATTCAAAATAATGCATCAAAAAAAGAGGTACGTAGTGCTTGTTTTACAAATCTGAGATATTATTCCTTAAGTCTAAAATGGCTGAAGTGGAATGTGAGTTAGCTTCAAAAGTCAGTGAACTTGAGTATCTAAAATTAGAGATTATATTAAACCCCATACTTGGTGAAAATGATGAAAAAAATATGACCGAGTCTGATGATATATCTGCAGTTATTAAATCTAGTAAAAATCTCAGATAATATTTTGTAAGCAGAAAAAGTATGGATCAAGCTAAAAAAATTAATGATAATATCTTGACACAAACTAGCATCTTTGGTACTTGCTTCACTAATGATGAGATTACCAAGCTACCAAAAATTGATACAGAGGTTAACCCAGAGGTAAATAATAGAACTAGCATTAATAAAATTAACAAGAATAATATACTAGATATATCGATAAAACCTAATGCATCAGAGGCTATGTCTCAAAATATGACTTTACATCTTATACAATCAGATAATAATAGTGAAATTAGTGCTAAACTATATATGTCCTTTTTAATTAAATCGAATATCCAGATGAGATCTAGTCTTAAGATTTTGTCTCTTCCTGCTATAGTAAACACTTTAATATCACCGCTATTGGTATATATTTTTCTTGCCCTATTAATTATTGTGGTTGTGTAATTTGTGAGATGCACATGGAATATAGGTAGACTCAAAATATCATTGCTCGACAGGCCCAAAGAGGTAACCCTAGGCTCAAAGAAGAGACAAAGTCTTGAATCTCCAATTCACCATTTCTTTGAAATAAAGGGTCATAAAAAAAATGATTGATTACGAGATATGTAGATCAGGTGAACATCTATTTAAACTTGGATATCTACAGAATAGTACACTTTGTGCCTATTTATGTACGAAAAAATATTTATTATATAATCTCATAGATATTGTATTATATTTATATTGAGTCAACTACCTTATGTCATATATTTAAAAAACTATTGAGTACTAGTTGATCAGCTTTCATTATATTGGATATAATAGATTACTTGATAAGTATCTCATTTTTTTTCATAGTTTTGGATGGACTAATTTTATCTGGATTTGATATATATTCTTTATATCGCATATGGTATATTAATTGATGAAAAGAGGTATCATATTTTTTGATAATTAGGATGCTTACGCATCTAGCATACATATAGCATATCCCAATTATATTAATTTTTCTATTAAATATTCTATGTGGTATATATTGTTAAAGAATTTAGTATAAATATGATTGATCTATTTGGTGACGAAGAAGTATATAACGAGAAATATGAAGTTGAAGACTGTTATGTTAACAGAAATTCTTCTATGTGTACACCATGTAAAAAGTATGTTAAGTTAACTTTTTCTATATCAGTAATATGTACAAGTCATAGTGATAAGTATCAAAATATGAAACATTATTACTGGAAAAAGCTAGAGAAAATGACAGAAAAATCAGAAGTACTTAAAGAAAACTCGCAATAATATGACCTGATAATATATATATAGCATAATAACACATAACTAAATGCATTGCCAGATGTTCTCAAGATGATATTAATCCAAATTGATAGGAAATTGAAAATGACATGAAAACAAAGCTTATAAAAGTGATAAAGAATCAATTTCTTTAGATATAAATAATGCTATAGAGTATGCATTTTATTTATATTATTTGAAAAAAATAATTAATGAAAATTAGTTAAATATACCTTGAAGTATCACTTTTTTTTTGAACTTGAGAGAAAAAAAGAAAAAAGAGCACGAGAGTATGAGTAAGACCAACTTCTTAAAATATAAGCAAAATTTTGAGGCTAAAATGAAAGTTCCTACTATTCCGCACAAAAAAGAGTTGAAAAATAAATCTTTAGCAATTATTGAATATATATAATTATTATTTTAAAATAACGTGATCAGAATATTCTGGCTAGGAGTATATCTAGCCATATATTTTGGATAAGGGGATTTTTATCATCTCTTACAATTAATATAAGAAAAAATTCAAATAAAAAATTAATATTTCAATACTTGGATCATATAAGAGATTTTTGTGTCATATAATTTAGGATAATAATCTGTACTAGGCATTTTATACAAAGGAATTTTTGTATTACATAATTTTAATCGAGATGCAATCGGGATAGCAAAGCGTGTAGATATAACAAGATAGTAAAATATATAGATATAATAGATTAACAATTCGCACAGATATGGCTAAATTTTTGGAATAGTGGCCCGCGGTATAATGAAATAGCAATCTGCACAAGTATGACTAAATTTTTGAGATGGCAAGATTACATTTTGGTTATATGATTTGGAACAACAAGATTACATTTCAATTATATATTTTGGATTAGCTGGGTTACATATTAATTATATATTTAGTAACATATATTAGAACAGCATAGCTATACAAGAAAGGATTCTAGAACATAAAATTATATTAGGCTTAATTTTTAGAACAGCAAGATTACATATTTTTTTCATTATCTGAGAAGTAGTTCAAACAAGTCAAAAGTAATAAAATTGCTGTAACCTTGCTATCCCAACCACATTAAGATTTTTTTTTATATCTATATCCATTATACCATACCATCTCTATATCCAATATTCTATCCTCATGTCAAATAAAAATGAAAAACAGATATACTTATTACAATGCTTTAAGTATTACTAAGTGAAGATAGTAATTTAGCACTATGTGTCTCATTCTTGGGTAATATTTGAATAAATTATATAAAGCTAATAACTGCTAATAATCCAGAGTTAACTATGGGTAAAGTAAATTGATAACCTGATAACATTTTTTGATAGCATAATCTGATAGCATAACCAGATAGTGTGACCAGATAGTGTGACCAGATAGCATGTATATAGCATACTTGATAGCAATTAGATAGCATTAATTAATAGTAATTATGCAACGTAAATTTAATAATATTCTCTGATAATATTTATGATGTATGTATCGATAGAAATTGTGTATATATGTTTGATAGCATACTCGATAGTAATAGGTAGATAACATTGAACTAGCAAATGATGATATATGATTGAATATATCATTGGTATTTTTTTTACTGATATGGTCTAATATCAGAAACCAGTTATGATCATCAAATCATTTTGATATATATTATAAAATTATGCTTTGGTGGATTATTAAATAAGAATAATAATTTGATACTACGTACCTCATGCTTGGATAATATAATAGATAACAATTTGGCACTACATGCCTCATCATCGAATACTTTAGTGTATTACCAGATATGTTAATAATTTGGCACTATGTGCCTCATTCTTGATTGATATTTGAGTGTATTATACAAAGCTAGAATACAAATATTATTTTGGTACTATGTGCCTCAAACCTGGTTCTTATCAAGAAATTAACCAGAAAGCTAAGGTACTACATGCCAAGTTTGGGCATAGTCCTCATGTTGGATCCATAAATGATAATATATAATTGGATGCATCATCAGATATATTTTTTTATCCATGTATCATAAAATATATATCACGACACTGATGATGGTGTCACATTTCTATCATCAAAAATATATCATAAAATATATATCATGACATTGACGATGGTGTTGTATTTCTATCATCAAAAATGTGTCATAAAATATATATCATGATACTGATGACAGTATCACATTTCTGTCATCACAACACTGATGACAGTATCACATTTCCATCATTATGACACATATCTGAGTGGAAATAACCTAGACTAAGTGGAAATAACATAATTATGTTATTTTCATTACTTTATTTTCTTTAATATTTTCTTTAGATTCTGAATAAATATTAAATTCTGAATTTAATATAATTTATTTAAGAAATATATTTTTAAGTTCTTAATTTTAGAATAATATCTGTTAATTTAACTATTATTAGAAAAAGTTCTTGAATAAATTATAATAAAAGTTTTGATAAGTAAATTATTAAAAGAATTATTTTATAATATTAAGTTATTTTTTTGAGTATTTATATAATTAAATAATAAGATATTTAATAATTAAATTATTTTTTATTTAAGTTAAATAATACTGTATATAT